GGTAAAAAATTTCCTTTAAATGATAGAAAAAATTGTCAGAAAATGTTTCTTTTGTGTTGTTAGAAATTCTTTTATGTCTTGACAGTTTGATTTTAATTTGTAAGACTGTCTTTTTCTCCACCCTATTCCTTCAACTGTTATTCCCTGTTGTGTCTGCAGAAGGGTGGCGGCACGGCGTCGGCCAACAACCTAGCCCAGCACCGCAAGACGGTGGAGAGCACCCTCGGGGTCATCCCCCACAAGCACACCCTGGCAGCCTTGTTGCAGCCAGGCACCAAGATCAAGGTCAAGGTCGGCTTCCAGCCCAAAGATGACCTTGCCAGATCTTCCCTGATTGTGATCAGGTATGCAGAATTGAATTTTGTTGTTTTGGGGCGCATTTTTTTTTTTGGGGGGGGTGTTGATTGACAATGAGAATGTGAGTAGGTAATTATGATATTTGCCTGCCAGGATGAGGATAAGAAATAAACAGGGATTTAACCTCAATATCCAGCGAGTAGTATTTAATTATACTTTGTTTATCTTTTGTGGCCGGCTGTAATTCTTCCAGCAAATAGATAAGCGGAAGTGTTGTTGGTGGTGGTAGAGGTCCAGCAGCTCTTCTTGTGTTCACAATTTTCTGTTCCATTCCAAAAGCACTGAGGACTTTACTAGACTTTGTGAGTTATTCACTATTTCATAGTTGCTAACCAGGACATAAAAAATGTACATATGTTTTTGAGGGCCTGAGTATGGAAGTCTGTATTCATGTAGGCTACAGTAGGAAAAGACATTTTCTTTGTTTCTAGTGTTGTTTCTTACAGACTTGCCAATGCTTAAGAAAATCTATGAATTTCAAAACCAGTTTTTCGAATAATAGTGAGACGAAGCTGATAGGTCAGTCGTAGTTGTGTCCATTACCATGGGTAACTACTGACCATGAATTTATTGAATGTTCATTCAAGACCATTTTTTATTGCATTTGTCTTGATTTTTTCTCTTTATTTGCTCGTTCTTTGCTATTAAAGACCTATCCTTTTCATCTATCTTCCTTCGTTTGTTTGTTACTCTCTTGCTACACCGTTAATCTTCTGCACTGTCCTGACCTATTTGTGTTGCAAGTATCATAAAAATTCTTCCTAAACTAACTAAATAAAAAGCTTTGCTCATGTTTTGATTGGTTTCAGAATTAATTTTTTTTCATTCACAGAAACAACCTGACCATAATAGATGCTGTTGTGGTTCAAGGCCAAGGTCGCAAAGGTGAAATGAGATTCAACAACAAGAAGCCAGGGTCGCACTCTGCGCTGACCTTTGAGATGACTGAGAAACATCTCAAGAATTGTGATAGTGAGTTTGTGTGTAGTTAAGACTAAATGGGCTGATGCTTAATTGGACAAAGAACTGTTGACAAGGAATGTGCATATTGTGTTTTTCTAGTTTTCATGTCTTGAAAGATTACAGAAAGGAATGCCACATGTTAAAAGAATCGTTTAATAGTTATATTCAAAGTTTTGCTTCATCTGGTAAGAATTGCTTCATTATTGTTTGTTTTTCCCACATTTAAAGTATAGTTTTAAGCATTTTTATTAAAGAAAGCATCTCTCCAAGAATATGTTTTCTTGTCCTCAGTTAGACAACTGTCTTTGTGTTGCAAATTTCCTTATTTACGTAGTCTAATATTCCATTGCTTTTTCTCATTCTTTCTCACAGCATCTGAAAAGAAAGCCAACAAGAATATCATGCCAAACTTCACAGTGCGGCGCCCATTCACTCTGAGAAATTCAGGAGAGCTGCCATTCTATATCCACGGTTTCAGCATCAACGACCTACCCTGCGAAGGATATGGGTTCAAAGTGCTGGACTGCTCAGGATTTGAAATGCCTCCTAATTCAAGTCGGAAGATAAACATTGCGTAAGTTTATAATTGTGGGGTATGTTCTTGAATATTAATGAGGAGAATATGGCTATGTTTAAAGCTGCGCTGTGCATTTTTGCCATTTTCACAGTATGCTCTAGTGATGTCCTTCATCATCACAGCATTAAGAAAACATACTGTTATCACACAATTTGAAATTAGTTTCTGTAGAAAACTAAAATTGTGGTACAGTATGGCTGAAGGGTGTTTGTTGACATAAGTAGACTCTACAAAAGGAAGATAAAAATGAAGAAATTTGTATTTTGTATTGTTATGTTTTTTCATTGTGTTGTCTAAATACTTCAACACTTTTTATTTCTTCTTGGTTCTTACAGAAGTCTGATTTGATAGTTTGCTCCTCTGTACCTGTTTATATATCAGTATGTGCTTTATACTTAAATAAGACTTTTTATGATAGTTCTTTTTCTGTTTTCTTCTCGCACAGGTTTACCCCCGACTTCACAATGTCACAGATCCAGCGCTCGCTGACCATTCACACGAGCCTGGGGCCTCCAGCAGCAGCGGCCAACTATTCCCTTCAGGCCATGGTGCCATACGACCTCTTGTCCCAGTGCTCGGCAGCCCTGCCTCGGCCCAGCTGGGAGCCATTGCTCTATTACTTTGTGGTCTGCCTCATGGCTTTCATCGTCTGCTGCATCCTGGTTTTGGCCTATTTCGAGTCAGACAGGGTCATGGCAGAGTACATCCGGCGCAAACTCAAGGTCAGCAACGGCACCCAGACTTTCGAAAAGGGCAAGGTCTTTGACCTTCGCTCCATTACTGGGCTGGCGGCAGGCGGCGTGGCTTCGACAAGTCAAGCAAATGCAGCTGCTGTAAAAGCTGGATTTTCCGGTGAGTTGTGACCTTATGCGCGAGTAAAATCGGTTTGAACAATTGGAACATTGAATAATGTGTGATTTGATTCTGTGAAAGTTTGCTCTCACTTCCTGCATTGAGATTAAATTGACACATTCTTCTGTTACACCTGAAAATAAGTGCAAAAAGTAATTCCTTTTTAGTTCTTTTTTGACATAGTTGTAAAGCACATTGAGCATGTTTAATTTTTTGTTATTATTATTATTATTATTATATTATCCTTGACATCGTTAGTTGATTGCAATATAAGCACGTGACCTTGCCATAGTGCCAAGCTTTATGTTCATAGAAAGTGTTACTTTCTCTGTGTACTGTATGGATAGATGTGTTTTTGCCTGTATTTATTGGTGGATACATGCAGGTGGTTGGAGGGTACTGCTGTAAGGTGCACTTTGTTTCTTTCTCTTTGTCGTTTCTATTTGTCTGTCTTTCTTTTTTCCTACTAGTGCTTTGTGGCCATTATCATTTTATGTGCTTCTCTCTAACCACATTATACAAATGCTCAGGAGTTTTGGCATAACATTTTTATTTGTCTTTCACTCTTTTCAGCTCCAAACCAGTGCGCTAATGGAAGACCTGCAGGTGATATGAATGGCCATGCCTCAGAACTGAGAGATTCGGGCGGACTAGATAATCACCTGAACCACAGCAACAACATTCAGAAGGCTTCAGCAGCTACCCTGGCTGCCATGTCTGCAACCACCAGCACTTCCTCTACCAACGGCAGCAGAAACCGGCGTACCTTCCTCGGCAGCCTAATCAAAATGATAAAGTCCATGTCTTTGGTTAAGTATTTCAACTCATCCAAGAAAGCCCCACCTCCTCAACAAGAAAAACCTGTTTTAAAAGAAGCGGGCACCTCGCTTCCGACCCCGGTACAGAGGGTCTCTTCAGCACCGTCCAGTAAAACTCCCCCTGCCCTAGACGCATCTTCAAACACGATGGTCGCGGGCAGCTCGACAACCACAGCTTCCTCCTCATCCCAGGAGTCGACAGCTGTGCTCTCCGAGAAATCCATTCCCAACAATTCTAACCACTTTTCCAACCGTGGCCGGAAAGGCCGGCTTAACCACAGGCGCCAGATCGTGGTGGAGGCCTCGGGCGACACCAGCAGCAGTGGTGGTGGAGGCAGCGCCAGCACCGACCACAGTTCTCGCAAGCTGAAGGAGAACAAAGACCCGGCACCACCTGCAGAGGCCGTGGCAAAGAAGAGCAGCACGGCCATGATGGACGATTTTGATGACATCCCGATGAGCAAGTTCACCAGCTCAGCCCTGGACCCCTCTGATGACCTGGAGGAGCTGGACATAAAGCTCGAGACAAAATCTGGTGAGTGCTCAGATGTTTCAAAATGATCCAGCATGGGAACTTTTTTGGCCTTTCAGATCTTTTTTTTTGTTTGTGTTAAATTTTTATAAGCACACCGAAATGAGTTGTGTGCATTGGCTGGTTGGTTATCTTAAGCAATATGATCCTCATGCTGTTCATCTGTTCTGATTTGTTGGCTGTTCATACTGTGAGGTTTTCGAGAAGGGGGCTCATATTTCAATTTTCTTTAAAGCACAGCAAGCATTGAAATTCATTTTACTGGCTACTGAATCTGATAATAACTTTGTCAACACCTCATCTTTCTTCAGGCAAACATAGAGGTGGTGCCAAGCGCAACAAATCTAAGAATAAGCCAGAAAGCAAGGACAGACTACTCTTCCGCAGGGAGAGCAACTTACCCGATGATGCTGACGACGTCTCGTCCACTACCACAGAGTCCTCTGGTGGAGATGTGGAGGATAAGGTTTGTTTTGATTTTGTTATTGTGGGGCTGTTGTTGTTGTTGTTTTTTTTGGAGGGGGGGTGTTGTTGCCTTGGCCCTTTATGTTGGTGAATACTGAAAAGCATTGTTCAAAATTATCTAGTTTATATTTGTGTGTAGATTTGGGAGAAGGGGGGGAATATGCTCTGACTCTTTAAACATCTGATTTATACATTATTATTATTGTTACAAGTTGTCTTAAGTCTTAATTTGATCTTACTTGAACTACTGCGCAAACCTTTGGTCTTCACTTGCAACGGGGGCCACATTTGGATCACTGTGATCTCATATGGGAAAGACTCCTCTTCAACTTATTTTTAGAATGGGCTGGCAAAATTTACTTTCACCCTTTTGTGTTGCTGTGAACGGGAGGAGTGGATGAATATTCAGCATTGTGCCAGAATCCAAGATGTATGACTCTTATTGCACATTTCATAGTATAGTAAGTAGAACATGTAATCCTAAAAATTTGTGGGATTTCCATTGATGTAATGGGGGATTGAAATGGTCTCTAATTTTCCTTTAATTTGTATTTTAAACATTGGATAAGCAGATGTAAAGATTACTTTATTTATCAGGATTTCCAGTGATTTTTGTTTTAGTGTGCAAAGTGACCATGTCCATTTTGGTGAAAATGCCAAAAGTAACATTACGGAGGCATTCAAAAGCTGTTGCATCATGTCCATTAATGAAATTCATGTGCCCAGTAGTTTTGCCACAATCACGATTCCCGTTGTGTTTATGAACAAGAGTTCTATTTTTCTCAAGACAAGGAATGTGATCATAGTAACTTATATCCTTCAACTCACAATATGTTTTTGTCATGTTAAAAAAATTAATTAAATTGTAATGCGATGCAGCGGGAACAAAAACCTGCGAGAAAGGTGTGAGGGAATTTCAGATTCTTGTAGACATTTTATTTACTTTTAATTCTCAGAGTTCCGTCGGCAATGACACCACTCCCGAAATTACAACAACCACAACCACTACCAATGGCCGAAAATGGCGAAAGAACGGTCACAAGCATACAGAACGCTTAGTAGTAGCCACGCATGGCGGAGACATTATTGATGATGATTCAAACTTTGAAGTCACCTCCAAGTCCAAAGCCCACCGCAAGATTCGAGTGAACAAGGAGACTTTTGGAGGGGACATCATGAGGCCCAGGTGAGAGGACTGTTGAGAACTCTTAGCTCTGTTTTTTCTTTTGGGGTCCTGACTGAAATATTGTTCCGATTTTTTTTAAACGTCATATTGTCACACTTATGTACCGCATGGTTTTACAAGTTTGAGATTTTTAAAAATTATATGTTAGACACTAGCCCAGTGAGTCACATTCAAAACAGTTTCTCAAAAAATTTCTTACTTATTTGTTTTGCAGTTTTTCTACAATTTTTGCAGGTGGTTAGTGGGTGCTCTGGTGTGGTTTGCTTCTTCTTTTCTATCAAACATCTGTCGTCTTGATCTCTCCTCCTCCTTTTTGTGTTTGTTACTCTCTTTGGCACTTTCAGGACTTTATAATGTTGCACGTGCCTTTGAACTCGGTACTAAAACTAAACTACAATTTTTTACACTACCTCGACACAACGTTGAGTTTTTGGGGGTTTTTTTAAAGTGAAGTGACTATGCTTAGAAGAAAAGTTGTTGTCTTTGATGGACAACTTGGACGGTGTAATTATGATATTGAAAACGCAGGGGGTGGGAGTCGTCATGTTAGTACAGGTGATTGTCTTGGACAAGAGGCCGTTAGAGCAGTTTCGACTGCACCTGTAAATAAATTGTGTATTTTGTACTTCAGCCTTTCCATTTCTTTGTGTTCAGTACCATTGAGCTGCCCTACTGCCTGCCCACGGAGAAGGAGCGCGCAGAGAGTGATTCTCACAAACGGCCCAAAAGATCAAAGAAACCGGCTCAGAAAGGTGAGATTTTTGTGTGGCATTTCAGCGTGTGTTTACATTGAATTTGTTTTTCTTTTTTGTTGTGGTTGGAAGGTGTGTTGCTACAATTGTTCTGTATGGGTAGTCACCTTTTACTCTTTTTAAAAATTTTTAAAAATTTTATTCTTCTTTTGTTTTTCTTTCGACTGTTGTATCCTGTTTCTATTTATGTTGCACGTCTTTAGCATCTTTTGATGTAGACAGATATTCCATATTAGAGCTGAGATTTGTTGTGTCTTTATGTTGTAATTAGCCTTTGTCTTGGTGTTCTGTAGGCCAGTCTTGCATGTGTGTACTGTGTGTCCTAGAGGTGGGCAAACTTGAAGTGTAGTTAACAGGTTGATTTGTGTAAAAGGATGGGCTTATTGCCTTCCCATTACATTGCAGGTTCTGGGTTTAGTCATAGATAATAAAAATATTTGAGCAATTGTTTTGGGGTTTTTAAAATTTATTCTGTGACTGTAAGTTATGTAAATGTTATAGTGTAAGCAGGAGTTGGAAAGTGAAAGATGGGGAATTTAACTTTTTCTTATATCTTGTGTACAGATCCGATCATTAGGCAAAACAAGGAATACATTCTTGCCCGCCTCTACTGTGTTGCTAACATGAGAGATTGGAATTGTCCCCCTTTTCCCTGTAAACTTTCTTTCAGTGTTCTTTGCTGTGTCTTTTTATTTTCACTCCTGTTGGTCAGTTTTCTTGATAATGATCACTTTCGAGGGGAATTTTTGTGCACATCTTTGTTTTGTAGTTATTATTGTTTGGTGTTTTTTAAAGAATCTCATGCCACCTTTCTAAGTGATGGTGGTGGTGTGTGTGTGTGTGGGGGGGGGGTTGAGTTAAAAATCTTTATCATTTTCAATGTTCACTTTTGCATGAAAATGTTGTACTGCTGAAAGTTTGCGATATAAATTAGTTCGTTCACATATTGAGCATCAGGTTTTTGTATTTTTATATTTTGTAATCCTAAGTATTTTATGCTTTGCATTCTAATTGTCTTCAGCAATTCTATTTTTTCTTTAAATACTCCCTAATTTATCTGTTTTGTTCCTTTCTATCTGCTGTCTACTTATAATGTTCCTTTCTAAAAACTCAGAGTGATTTACAATGGAGATATGTTTGACAAAAAGCATTCTGTTGCCTTAGGATTGAGGTTGTTACCTGCCGCTGACGTGTTAACTTTTTGATGGAAAAGTTGGGAAAGTGATCAGGATGTTGTTAGTTGACCTTTTTTTGTTCTAAAATATATATATATGCATAACTGCTGAAAATACAATCAGTTATTATAATTGTTTAAGATCAACTTTTAGAGAAGTTAGTTGTAGTTCTCTGGTTCAAGAAGAAGTGAACTAGAAAAATTAGTAATCATATTCAAAGAACATTGATGAAGGATTACATATTAGACCAAAGAACATCAATAAAGGATTACACATTTGATAAAAGAACAAAGATGAAGGATTAGATCAGGGGTTAACGAAATCAACATTTTGTTTTTTTCGGGTTGTTGGATATATGGGTGTGAAGTGTACAGGGTTTTTTTTTGGGGGGTTGCTCACATTGAAAATGTTTTGTTGAAAGTCAGAAAGTATTACCGTTGTGTGTGAAATGGTTTGAATGAAAGGGCATGGAAGGTTGGTTTTTTTGTATTTAGTTTTTTTCCTCCTAGTCAGGAAACAAAAGTCTCGGTTTTTGTGCGTTTTGTTTGGATATGAATTTGATAAGGGACATGCTTATTTCTTTGGATTGTCTCTTTTTTTTTTTTTTCATTCTTTCAAAATTTCTGTAACTGGAATTCAGCCTTTTTTCTCCTCATTCCTTATTCTGCTATTCTGAGTGAGGTGAATCTGTGGCAGACAACCAAAAAAAACAACCTTTTTAGCCTTTCTCTTTTCCATCATTTTACTTTTTTTCATTTTTTAAAAACTTTCCTATAACAATTTCCAGCCATTTTTCGCCTGGTCCCATAATGGATTTATTTTTATGGTGGATGAGGGCGACATTTTTTTCTGGCTGACAAACTTCGTAGTTGCTTGCAAATGTTTGTGTCGTAATGCTTACGTATGGTCAGTTTTGGGTTACCAACCAAGTCTGTTCCTTTCTTGTTGGCTGTCGTGCTAGGTGACTCCCCAGTTGCATCATTCCCCTCGTTGGCTGACGGCGCCACGGATGGCTCATCTGACACGGGCAGAGAGTCTCCACCCCCAATCTGGGATGAGCCCGTTCAGTTTGATCATGAGTTCATGCCCGGTTAGCTCTCTCTTCTTATTTTCTTTTTTTTTCTTCCTAAGCGTACCTTTTTTTGTTTTGTTTGTTTTGGATTTTTTAAAGGTCAAATCTTAATTTTATTTTTTTCTGTGGCGCTTATGATTTGGTTCTCCCTATTATTTTGTCTGCATTTTTCCGTTTCCCTCTATCCTTATCCCTTCAGTAGTTTTGGTTCCCCCCCCCCCCATCTTTACTTCTACCTTCCTTCTCCGATCACACGTTATAATTGCTTTCATCGTTGTAGTCGATGCTTTGTGTATGTGTTGGCTGTGGATTGTGTTTATTTTGCACCGGCTTCTCTCTCTTTGCTTGTGAATGAGAATGAACGACATTTCATGGATACAGGAGATGGGAAGATGACAACTATACATGTCTATGTTATGTTGATTAATAAAATCCAGCATTTTTGTATATTGTCATTAATTATTTAGCGCCAAATTTCTTCGTCCCTGTTCCTCGTCATAGTAATTTCTGTGTGCCTAATGTTTATATTTTCAGGGAAGACACCAAATTTTGTTTACCATTTTCTCACAAATTTTACCTCTCACACCGGGGGGAAACCTACCTCCTTCAATCACAGATATTTCAAGTTCTATTAAAGATATGGGGGGTTTTTTTCACCCAATGCAAGACAAATGAACAAGCTTTAAGATGATATTAATTACACTGTATGCCCAAGAATTGGCAAGTACCTGATTTCACCTCGTCACGAAACAATTGAGTCTGTCCTTCCGATAGAAGTTGCCAGCTTTGTCTTTTACTGTTTTTCTGTGATTTGGAGTTTGGGAAAAGGTGGCTCGATTCTCAGGGTTCACACCCTTCCTTAAAAGTCTTTGATTTTTGTCAAAACCAAATTAGTAACAAGTATTGAGTTTAAAATTCCTTGATTTCGAAAATTGTGTCTAAAGTGTAAAAAGTCCAATATTTAGTATAAACTGGAGATGAATTAAGACAGTGCTATTATTTATCTTGCTTTATGTAATGTTGAGGTATTGGAGAATGCAGTTTTCAGAAGATTAGATTTTCCCCAGTTGTGGACCAGAAGGACTTGTCAAAAATGTACATTAAATTATGGAGCCAATGAGATCGCTTAACCTGGAAATAGTATTAATAATGATATGTCAAATAAACATAATTTTTTTGGATGGTTGGAGAACGCCACTTATCGTCTCAGAACTATTTTGTACAAAGTGTACTTAAGTAAAGAGTTACAGGCACTTTAGATTATCATACCGATAGGCTTTTCTTTTACTTTACTCAAGGGAAGGAAAGAATTTCAAATTCTGCCGGTGTTCTTTCTGTTCTGCTTTGAGAAAGTGTGTGGTTCTTGTGGTTGGCTTTTGTTTCGTTATCCCTATCATGCTTGTTCTCTTTCAAACACCCTCATGCACACTCACACTCACCAACACACACACACACACTCACCAACACACACACACACACTCACCAACACACACACACACACTCACCAACACACACACACACACACTCACACACACACACACTCGCCTTGTCTCTTTTAATGTAAAATGATTATCTTAGTAGTCAACTGGACTTTTGGGAAAAGATTATGAAGGTGAAATTTGAAGTGGACATATTTTACTTACTCTTAGTAGTCACATAACTATTTTGAATATTATTTTGCTTCCCCCAATCCATCATTTTCCCAGACCATGCTAGAATGTTTCATTGTAATATGCACTTCTTGTACATTTCACTGCTCTTACTTAAGTCCTCATCTGCCAAGCTTGCTATTTTCTCTTTGCATTTGGGTCAGCATTTTGCTTCTTTGGTTTCTTTGCTTTGTATCTGTTTCTTATTAATCATTGTCCATTGTAGTGGAAACGGAAATTCTTATTAACTTAGGCCAACAGCGGCACTGACGGTATAATTTTATTTTTGCCTTTTAAATTGACAGTAAAAAGCATATTGTTTATCAGAATGTGAAGTGAAAATATTCAGCACCATTAAATAGAGAATGCCCATGCAGAAGAATTCAAAGAAACTCATTCGTCCACCCTCCCCCCTTTGCTTTTTCCCTGAAAAATGAGTAATGGTTGGTTTAATTTCCATTTTTCTTCAAATTGAACTTGTACCCTGCTTGTGCAGGCAGTACAAGATTTTTATATCTGTTGTTGTTTTTCCTAAACCCATTCCCATCCCACACCTTTCCTTTCCTGTGCCCTTTTTTAAAAAGATTTTAACAGATTGTTGATGGAAACCAAAGTGAAATGTTTATGGAACTTCTCAATGTCAAAGTGTAAATTAGAGAGTGTCATTAGAGTTAAGAAAAGACGCTAATGGAGAAGTGGGAAGTTGTTGTTTGTACAGGTGGTTGTCTTGGATAGATGGTCGTAAGAGCAATTTTGACAATATTTATTTTGTAACTGTTCTCATTTAATCCATTATATACATGTGATTATCCCGATATTTAAAAAGTATTCATTTCCTTTGCACACGGTTGAAGCTGGTGACTTTTCCTAAGTGCATGATGTCCTCTATGAATTCACAACTTTACTTCATTTTTGTATGAGGAATGTCAACCTTTGCATTTATTTCACTTTAGGGCATTCCTCCTGCAGGTCTGATGCTTTACTGCAGGTGTATGCTTTGGTTCCTGCTGTCCACTGTCATGTAACATTCAAGCTAAAGCGTCTTTTGCAACAAATAGATAAGTGCAAGCTCTATTATAGACCCTAGCTGAGGTTTCCTGTTTTGCTCGATTATTGTTATGACAGCGATTCATAGAGCAAGTCTAGATATTGGTCCAATAGAAAAAAAACTAATACCTTGGGAATACACAACAGGTACTAAGAGTAAAAAGGGTGATGTAGAGAATTGTGTGCACTTTTAGACTGAACTAATGATTAAGACGGTGTCACTTTGACTTTTGCTTTACCATACATCTCTGACAAGTTTACATAATGCTTGTAGTTGCTGGCAACAAATTTGCCTGAGTGTTTTTGTTGACTTCCTCGGTTAGTGTAAGATGATATGAAGGCTCTTTAGTCCTAATAAATTCTGTTAATTAGTATTTTTTATATTTTGTTTTTCTTACCTGGTCCCTCTCCAATACCTATGTCCTTTGCAGGTGACCTCAGTGAGCTGTCCATACAGACGGAGACGTTTGCTCAGAAGCATAACCGTGTTGCTGGTGGGACCGGGGGTTCTAACTCTGTCAATGCGTCAACCGCATCAAGCCTCAACAGCACCTCCTCCCCATCTGCTCTGAGCGGGTTTGGGTCGGGTTCAGTTCTGGGCTCTTCAACTTTTGGCTTCACCCCGGACCGCTTGTCGTACGCACCGGGCAGTGGTGTCAGCAGCCGCAGCAACTCCAGCTACAGCAGCATCGTGAGCAGCAGCACAAACATGACCTCGGCCCCAACAACGCCACCGCCCGAATCCCTCAACCCCCGTGGATCCTCCTCCTCCTCTGCTGCCATGAGTCTGGGTTCGGGTCCAATGCTCCCTGGTGCGAGTGGCACGGCTCCAGCCTCCCAGGCCACCAGTGTGGTTGGCAGCCCGCTGGACGTCCACAACTCACGGTACGCTTCGGCCGGGTTCAGACCCTTCTCGGAGAACGGGCTGCCGGGCATTGTTCCTGGGCTGGCCCCCGCCCAGAGCAGCCCTCCCTCCACCTGGGCCTCGGGTCTGCCTCCTTCTACGTCAGGGGACGCCAGGTGAGCGGGGACTCCCCTCATTTGTTGTGGTTTTTATTTGTTTGTTTGATCAGTGGTGTTTAGGGTTTTTTTTCTGTTGATTTGTTTATATCTAAGTTGCTCAATTAGTAGTAAACCTGTTTTTATCTGGGGGGGGGGGGGTTCACCTTTTAATGTCATAGTAGAATCTGTCATAACTCACTGCCTACCCATGCTGTATATTTTGTCAAAGTTCTGTTTCTGTTGCGTACCTTTCCCACAGCCCCAGCGGTTTCCTAAATCAGAATTCTGTTATTACTGCGGCTGTATTTGTTTCAGCAATTTTTTCTTAAAAGATACACATTGAAACGGAGTGTAGCAGTGAGAAATATGGTGGGTGGGGGGCATTGAGTTGTTTATGTTTTAATTTTGATCTATTATGAACTGTCTTAGGTAGCCCCCCCTCCAATTCCAGTTCATATTGTAAGAGTATAACTTTCGAAACATAGATGCAGTTGTCATGTTGTGGAAATCAAAAAGTATTGGGCACAGTACAGGTAGTTAGTATATCCTTTTTCTCAATTAAACACACATTTTTCCTCCTTCAGCTATGGCCTGCATTCTATCTCTGAGAGTGGAGGTCCCTCTGGCTTTGGCATGTCTGGACACAGAGGATTGGACGGGTACGGCTATGGAAGTCCAGGTAAGCATTTTCTTGAGGCTGTTGTCCTTTCTGCGGTTCAGAATAAGTCGATGATGTGTTGTCCTATTGTAACTAAAATGTAATAATAGTTCTGTGAAGCCCGTCTGAAATGAGTGCTTCATGAATTTGAAATGTTATTTTTGTCAGGTTGATTAAAGCTAAGACATAAGATGTAATGGGTTGCTCTTTCTCTTTCTTAGTCTATTACAAACTTCTTTTTAAAAATGCATTCTATTTGTAGCTGCCATAGTAACATTGTTATAGCCATAGGGATTCCATATTTGGAGAAGAAAATTCATTTTGTATGCAATTTTTGGATTTTTTTTGTTTCCTGAAGGAGTGAATGTCAGATTTTGCAACTGCTGTCGTTTCTTTTGTTCACATTTCGTTCAGTTTTGAAAGTCCAGGTTCATTTGCATGGCCCTCATTTATACTTGTGTTACTATATTCTCGTGAAATTGAAATGTGTTTAATTATAGTTGCATTGGTTCTGACAGGCTAGGTGCCTCCTCCTAAGATATATGTTCTCAGTGTGTCAGGGCTTGGCGCACAGTGGTTGTGTTGCCTTGTCTTTAACTCACAGTTTTGCAATTTCAGGTCCATCTAAATGGCTGCCATACATGTTTCCGCTTGTTTGTATTCCCCCTTGAAATCAAAACTCTTTTTCTTTGTGAGTGGTTGGTAGGTGGTTTGCTTCTTCTTTCATATGAAACATCTTTCTTCCTTATCTTTCCTCCTTTCGTTTTTTTAAAAACTCTTGTAATACCTCTAATCTTCGGCACTTATATGACCTATTGTGTTGCAAATGCCGCAAAACACTAAAACTATAGCTCAAAAACTAATTTTTATGTGCCAGGTCTGAAACAAGACATTGGCATTTTTATGGTTGGTTGGCTGCCCGTTTCTCTTCTAGAATTGTCTTTATAAAATCTTATATGTGAGGCAGCATTGTGAAATCAGGCGCTGGTCAAAATAGTCAAAGTGAAAAAACTGGCATTTTCCCGCACATTAAGAGTTTTTTATAGAATTTTTGGTTTTTTGGCATACCACCTTTCATGCCCATTACAGAACACTTTTCTGGTTGGATTTTACTGAAACGGGTCGATTAAAGGCCAAAAAATGTAATTTTTCAATTTACACGGACTCTTGGGCTAAGGAAATAACTCATCTTTGGCGGCCATTTTCTCACTAGATTTACCCCTGGAACCATGTGGCCCCCACCTCCTTCATTAGCCAATATCTTGACTTTTATTCTAGATAAATGGATATTTTTTTCATCCAATGCAAGGCAAATGAACAACTTTTAAGGTGATAGCAATGACTCATGTCCCAAAAATTTACTAGTGCCTGATTCCACCACGCCATGACACATATTGTCCTGGTCTTTTCCCATCACTCATCCGCTCACATCCGAATAAGTTATTTTTGGTCCAATTCTGACTCTTTTGCTGTTGAAACTCCAGATGTGATGATGATTTCCTAATTGTTCCAACAGGCGAGGTTCCTCCATCTATGTACTCGATGTACCAGGGCTCGGCACAGGACGGCCTGAGCAGCCAGCCTCCTCAGCAGCAGTTGACCATCATGCAGCAGCTGCAGGTGGAGAGAAGACGTCGCCTGTGGGAACATCAGCAGAAGGTCAACAAAGGTCAGTTCACATGTCAAGAGTCTTTGCGTCTCTTATTGATGATAGTTGTTGCTTTACCTCGGTTGAGTTTGGTGTGCAGGTTTTTAGCAGTTGCTCGGGTGTGGTTTTCTCTTTCTTTCCTATCGAACATGTTATTGTCCTTATCTCTTTTCCTTTTTTTGTGCTTGTTACTCTCTTGTAACACCTCTTATCTTTGGCACTTATATAATCTTATTGTGTTTCAAGTGCCATAAAATTCTTTCTAAAACTAAAACCAAAGGTAGCTGTTGCTTTTTGTGAACAGTAGTAAGGTTCAGCATGCCTTTAACATTCTGGGCAGAATTATGTTTTTGCGTCTAAGTTTTGGCTTGTATTTGTATTTGTATTTTGTCTCATGGTTGTCGCATTTGATTGCACTTTGTGGTTCAGTCGAAATTGTCCAAGACAGCAACTCATCGTCAAGAAGAAAAGTGGTTATTTTGAGACAGATGAACATCTTGGACAGTGTTATTATAATACACTAAAAAGGCAGGTGGGAAGTTTAAGTGGTCTTTTGTCCAGTTGGTTATCATGGACAGGTGGTCTTTAGAGCAGATTCAACTTTGTTTACCATCTCTTGTCACTTCCCTTCCTTTTTTGAGAATATTGTGTTCTTGTTCAGTTACGACTCACTGTTGGGTGTTAGATGGCTTGTAAGTACAAATCTTGGTCAGTAAGATTCATTTCAACTCTTTTCAGTGGTGATGGAGCAGACAAACATCCTGTCTCTCAGGGGATAAATAATTGTCTTTGGTTATAGGCAAATGAGTTTGAACTATTTTTTTGTTCGTGGGTTTTAAAAATATTTGAGGCTACAAAAATATTTTGGTGAGTTGTATGACGTAGATTATTAGTAGTAGTACAGCTAATCGAGTCCTTGCCAGTCTGGGCGATATTGCCCACCATAGGGTAATTTGGTGATTTTGATGGGCAATTGGGATCACCTGAGTAGGGACAGGTAGTGATAAATTATCTGTTTGGAAATAGATGTCTGTGGGGAGTGCAAAAGCGTTATCCTCTTAAAAGTGAGAAAAGTGGGTGCTGGCTATGAAATGGTTGACAAGCACTTTGCTTTGATGTTCCATACTGTAACTCAGTTTTCCTGATGAATGTTTTCATTTTGGTCGGTTATGTGTCGGGGTTTACCTTTGTGCTTGTTCTCATCTCTCATTGGCACCAGGTGAGCTGTGGCCTGGGTTCGACACCCCTCTGATCCGCCACGACAGCCTGTGGGACAACGACTGCAACCCTATGGAGCACAACTCCTGGTCTACCAACACGGACAACGTCACCAGCCCCAACGTGAGTTGCTGTGGTCAAGATGAACAAACTGTGTCGATAGCAGTCTAAACGTAAACTAGCTGCGTCTGTGGCACCTTTAGTGTAACCAAATTGTGTCAACAGAGTGCTGTAATTGTGTGGACATAATGCTGTAAATATGACCAGATTGTGTCAACTACTTCTGTGAAACACACTCTGACTAACAGCAGGACGAAATGTTCAGGCCTCTCATATACTGTATTAAATTTGGAGGTCTTTTATGGGGGTTTTTTCTACTCCTCAAAGAACCTCAATCAAACTTGCTTATAATCCAATTTTTTACATGTATCCCGCCCATGGCAGGTCATGTCTGGTTTGAATATTTTTCATTAAGTGCCCTCTTTTTTGCAAGCTTTTTTTGCCCTTTCATATGATGGGGGATATCATCCCATGAGAGAGCTGGAAATATTGGTAAAGTGCATGTTGTGACCACCCCTGCACCCTGTTGTGGGTTGACCGGGTGTGTGGTCATGGGCGGCCCCGGACCAGTGGGTTGACCCCATAGAGAGTTAAACATGCTACAGAAATGACCCCCCACGGGGTCATGGTCACCACAGGGTCTGGCCCTGCAAGTCAAGAGGCTTGGATAGTAAGGGTGACCTACATTCTCATCATTATCATTCATCTCCTTTCAGTTGTTCTGATTTTCTGTTAACTCTGTATGCATTCTAGATTTTTTATCCATTGCCCTTTCTGGTGCAAGTGGAAGGGCAATTTGTACAGATTATTATTATTATTGTTGTTGTTGCATACAATATTTTGCACTCCCACACCATTTTAAAATATATATTTCAATAGTTTTATACGTCGTCTGTTGTGTAGCAGTTAGACTCTTCACTGTCGCACCCAGGAGACCCAAGTTCGATTTCTGAGTGGGGAGGAATTCGTATTGAGCATCTGTCTTTCTGCTGGGATACTACATTTATCTCCGCCCAGGTTGGCCCCCTTGACAGGCAGGGTCTGAAGCCAGCTTCGTAAATGATCCAAATTTTGTCGATGGCATAAAACATCTACATTTTTTTACTTTCTTAAACTTGATCAGGTTAGACTTACGCTTTTTATCAAATGACGTAAAGTTAGGGTTTTTATTTTTCAGACAGATCTCTTTTATACCTCTGTTTTCAATTTTGTTATTATGTCCAAATTTGTAATGTTTTAATTTTGTAGCTAAGTTTTAAGTGTATTGGCCTACCATCAGCAATTCTTTCCTTTTAAGCACTTTGAGACGAGAGTCTCTTCACATACACAGCACCAAAAGCAGCCCCACTTGATGAAATTTTGTTTGTTGTTATGTAATCAGATGTTATAAAGTTGGGTGTGCCTGATTGGTCTTTGAAAAAGTCGCAAGACTGTTAAAAGGCACTTTGCATTGTCTTGCGATGATGGGGGCTCTACGCGTTTGCAGGGAAGGGAAGTTTAGTATTTATCCCTTAAAAGACCCTCCCCTCTGCTTCCGTCTCAGGGCTTCTGGAGCACGCTGACCAATTCTGCGTCAAGCGGCTGGTCGTCTCTGCAGTCTCTGGCCAACATCTGGGGCAGCCCTCCGCAACAGGACCCGTCTGCTGGACATGGCAACTTCAACCAGGGCTCTGGCTCCCCTCAGGCCAACCAGCAGGTTTGAGCTGACTGACTCTTATACAGGGTTTTTTATTTTTATTTTTTTATGGGGGGGGGGTGTTATTCAGTTGCTTTCTATGGTTTTATTTTTGTTTTGTTTTGGGGTTTTCAGTGTGAGAGGCAGACCTGCCACTCATCCCGATTTAGTCGGGATATCCCGATTTTTTGCCCCAAATCTCAAGCATCCCGATTTTCCCGATTTCGATTGCGTGTATCCCGATTTTTTTGTCCCAGTCTGCTGTTGTGTGGGATTTTTCTAAAACCTTACTGTCTTCTCCTTTATCATGGGAAGCACCCGTTGAACTTTTTGTCAGTTTGAACTCTGGGCACTATTTCCCGAAATATTGATGCCGCATTTAGTAGTTGACTCGCCCCAAGTTGTGTGTGATCTTTGCCCATACTCAGAATTCTACGATGATAGCCTGGTAACTGTTACAATTTGGCACATACAAATAATCGATAATATTCGTAGTTCCGCTGTTACTTTCAAAACAATCCTTGTCCGAGGCCTGGGACTGCCCGTTCACACCAAACACTCGGACGAGCAAGTCTTTCTAACCCTTACACAACTACATGTAACCGCGCTGACAAGACTAACATACGGCCGTTGTTTTTGCTTTAGTTTGAACCTAGGCCTTCTCAGGGGAGGCCGTATATCCAGGACGATTGGCCTCGGCATTGGAGGCCTACCGCGTTCCCGGAGGGTAAATGCAAAAAGCGGCGATAGATTAATGCGCTGGTGTGGGTGATGGAGCATCCTCGCACTGTACTCACTAGACTGGCCTACATGGAACCTTTCTTAAATTCAATGTATTTTTGTTGTTGCTGCTTTGTTGTGAGAGTTTATCGGCTCTTATAATAAAGGAAGATCACATCAGTGACAGAGTGTATCAATTCGTCAACATGAAAATGAATTACGTTCGCATTTTACCATGAAATACAGACCGTGGCACACAAGTGGGATAACTTTGGTTCTTCACTTGCAACGGATAGCCTACAAGAGACACCGTTCTCATTCTACATGTTTAAACAAACATAAAAGAAAATTAATTTCACACACACACACACACACACATGTCGATCTTCAGATGGTGTGCACATAACTGAAACCAATCAGCTGTTGATAAAAAAAGACGTCTCTTACCTCTGAAAAAGTTACTGTTTGCATGATCAGGATGACAGCTTTGCTATTTTTTTTTTCGCCTGTCCTAATATTTGCCAACTGCATGAGCTTAGGATAACAATATCAAGATGGAATGTCGATGGAAAGTCCCTCAAAATCGCCTCCAATCAATTTCTGCAGTTTTTCTGTGGTTTCCAACAACAAAAAAACCCTACCCAGCAAGTGGTAGATCTAGAGTAGTGCAGGCCAACAATGCCTCTCTGGAAGGTTACACACGAAGTGCAAAATTTCCTCTAGCATGTGACAACATCGCAAGTGAAGCCTGGATGCCTGATGTGCCTTATTTTGTGAAGCTTCAAATGAAACCTCTTTCTCGTGGTCATGGCATGGGTGTGGCGAACAACCATAAAATACATTGAAAATGCAAAAACGGGGCCATCTCAAGTTCTGCTGAGCGAGACACGTGTGTATTTAATTATAATCTCTCTTTGCAACATTGCCAATAGCTGTCAGCTTCATTATATTCATATCCATTGTTTGATAAAACTGAATCGAACTTGAAGGCATCTCTCTTTCTTTAAATACATTCATTTCATCAATATCAGTAGCTCTAGAAGAAGCTGAACTTGTTGTAGTTGCTCTTTTTTCTTTCTTTTTTTTGGGGGGAGCTGGTGTGCCACAACATGATGGTGGTACTTCTGGAAATATTGATGGAGACTCTGTGGGCACTATAAATCTTCCAGCCCGTGTCAAAGGTGCATCAGGTGGGAAGTGCAGAGAGCAAACTCCCATGTACTATACATTGTAATCCGTGACATCTTCTACCATGATTAATTTATTCGGAACACTTTTGATCCACTGTGCTTTTTTCTGAATCTTTTGGAAATCTATATTATTATTTCGCTATCTCCCTTTTGGCTGGCATAACCACTTCTACAGCCCTATCCCCTACACTTTCTTCCCATGTTCAAATTTGAAATGTTGCTCACACGGTTCTTTGCGCTGAAACGGAGACGTCAGCTGAAAACTTTTTCACAATAGCATTAGACTAGTAACAATAACCCTCAAGATGAAAGAAAACTAGACTCGCGGCTGAACACTAAAACACACAATATAAGCACAAATTTAATCCTTAGAATTGAGTGTAGTGAAAATACATCCAATCAAACGAAAAAAACGTGTACATCCCAAGAGCACTGAACGAAACAATGAAGAGGCTAGGAGATTAGACAGACTAAACGGCTACACACTACAGACTACACACATTACTATTACAATATCGGCACGCAAAAGCGTAATGCAAAAATGTTCCACCACCTGTATACGTTTTAGTATTAGAGCATCTACCTATCGCCGCTTTTCGCTTTTAATTGGCGCTTTTCACATTTATCTTCGATAAGATAACCGGTCTTGAGGCGAGCTTATCATCATCGTCATCGTTATCCTAGAGTACTAGAAGTAGAACGACTGTCGCTCATCCGAGTGTTTTGTGTGAACGCGCAATTAGTCAGATCCGTTAGTAAAATTGTTTCAATCGCGCATTTGCGTCACGTGGTATGACATCGCCATGTGAGTTCTGCGTGTCGGGGACCGTCCGTTGATGGGGTCAACTTAAGTTAATGTATTTCGGGACTAATGGGGGGGGGTATAGACACTTAGACTAGAAGGAGTGCTTGACGTGATGCTTCAGGATTTACAAAAAATAATGATAACTCGCACGCACGCACACACACGCGCGCGCGCGCGTGCACAAACAAACAAAGACACTTACAGTGCATATTGGCCAAGTAATTTATGGACACCCCTGGACAAATATTAAGTCAGCTTTGGCAGTCACCTTGGTGATTTTCCTGTTGATCCCGATTTTTTTCACCAAATCCCGATTTTTTCTCCCCGAGATCCTGATTTTGAGGTTTCATAGAGTGGCAGGTCTGGAGAGGGGAGGGGTGTTGTAAGTTATGTTTCAGTCGTCTTTGCCATGTGGTTACTATGTCAGTATCATCGTCAACATGGCTCTCTTAATTGAAATAAAAACTGTACTTCATATTTCTGTCTGTTTTGTTCTCCTCCTCCTCCTCCTCCCCCCCCCCCCTCCCCACAACAAATGGGCATTATCGTGCCAATGCACTTCTCTGTTCTCAAACTCAAAGTACAGTGTTTTTCTTTCACTCAACGAGTTTTGTCTTTTCTTGTGTCTACAGCCGCTGGTTGGCGGAGCAGCCCCACCGCCATTCAACCCCTTCACGTCAATGGCGGACATCTGGAGCCCCACCTCGGCCACTGGAAGCCTCGGAGGCATGGGAGGCGTGTCCTCCACCAGCACCAGCTGCGCCATGCCCGGTGGAGGCCTGGGTGGCATGGGGGGGTCTCCCCCTCTGTCCTCCTCCCCCAGCCCAGGGGCCCCGGGGAGTCTCGGAGGCAGCCCCACCTCGGCCCAGTGGAACCCCATGACCCCATCCCCCTCCGCCCCCGGCACCCCGCCCATCTCTAAAGAGCAGCAGCAGCAATAGAACGTGAACCTAAGTAATGTGTGAACTAGGGGGAAACAGGAAGAAAAATAGTACATTGTTGAGATGAGCAAATATCAGTGTGTACATTGTTCATAGTGATGTTATTTTTTATTTGGTTTTTTTTTTTGTTTTTATGGTTTGTCAAACTATTCAGATGCATCCTTTTTTTATGTCAGTCCCTTCACTACAGAAATTTAGGAAAAATAATATTTTGGTTTGTCCAATAGACCACAAGTTGAAGTGTGGAGTGAAGAAACGGATCTTTATAATCACCACCTTGGCTAATCTGGTTAAAAAAACTCTTCATTCTTCATGGTTTGCATTCTTCGTTTCCCAATTTGGTCAATAGCTAGCCATCATTTTCACTGAAATAAAATCTAAAAAGCTGATTTGACCTACAATCACAAATAGATCTTCTAGGTTATTAGATTCAAATTGCAGTGCTTTTAGGTTGACAGTCGAGTTTTCCTATGCAGATTTTTTTAATGCAGCTTAACTGTCTCTGTGTCTGATTATTCATTCTTGAGCAACATTGTCCCTTCCAACAGTTTTATTGTTCTGTTTTGTCTTCAAGGTCAGAGATGATTGTTTATTTCATATGTTCTAAGCAGTTACTTTTGGAAGACTTAAGTCAGATGAAGCTCGAAGTCATTTGACTTTTTAAGTTCATACACATCAGTGTACTAAGTATGTATTGGATGAGATTGTCATGTTGGAATGTTGCATAACATGAAGCGGCTGTGATAATAATTTTATGTCCATTTTCTTTTCAATATCTCGTGAGAATGGTGAGAGTATGAGTTGATGAATGTCCTTCATGCAAGCGATTATAGTGCTTGAAGTGCGTCGTAGATAGATTTGTGCTTTTTGCTACCCAGAAATATTCATGCACGGGCAGTGCAGATTTTTTCTTTCACTTTCAAATTTAATTCTTGATTTTGTAAAAGGACAGAACTTGCGTATGTGCTTCAGTTCCATCAAAGGGTTTCCCCACATTCGTCCTTACTTTTCGTCGCTGGTCACGTGGCACTTCTGTTGTAACCCCATCAACCCCCAATTATTCACCCCTACTATCGAACTTCTTTCATAGCCTTTTCCTCATGTGTCATTTCACTGCACTTTTACTTTGTTTTATTCACACACACCATATATCTTTTTTTTTTAGAACATGTGAGTTGCCTCAAGTACTGTTTTATTACGTCAGAAAAGTGAAAGTCAACATATATTTTCTTTGTGCTCTGCCCCATAAAAGATTTTCAGTAACATTATTTGTTCATGAGTTTACTTGAGTTTGTGCCTCATCAGTTTTCTATTTCTGTAATTGGCAGAAAGATTGTGGACAGAAACTGAAGGTGCCTAATGAAATTGGGAAATAGATTTTGTTTCTTTTACTTCAATGCCTGTGTTGAAGGCAATTGTGTGAGCTGAGCCTTTACATTCTGAAACCTAAACAGAAGGAAAAAATAGTGGCTTGCTTTCCTTGCATTATGGACCGATAAGGAAATTTCAGATCTGTTTGTGTCTCTGGTCTCATTTTAGGGGTCCTGTATATAGATAATCTTGTTCAAGAGTTACATATCAAAAGTTCCGCCTTGAATGGTTTTGCGATGGTGTTAGCAGCAATGGATTTGGCTTACGCGGCGAGCTGTGGGTAGTTTGTTATTGTTCATGTTGTGCCTGTAAAGCTTGTTCATCCCACCGTCTGTGACTCTGTTGTTGTTGCTGGGGGAGCTTCTCTCCCACGCTTTCCTTGTGTAAATCAGCTCTCTGTATGGCATCGCTACTGTCTCAGTTGAATACCCTCTGTGAATTGATCGAGACAATCCTCAATGCTTTAAGTCTTGCTAAGTCTGTTTTTGTTTGGGGGGGTCATTGTTTGTTTTTTTTACGATGGTTTCGTTGATGTGATATTTTTCAAGTGCTTAATCCATCTTGCGATGTTAGTCTCACTTGCCTCTTAATATTTACTCACAGATGGGTTTGTGTGAAGGAGCACCATGTTCGCTGGTCTCTGTTAATAATAATTTTTTTTTAAATTATCAATCACTCAATCTGTACATTTTCTCTTGAAGTCGACCGACCATAAAGTTAAAGAAGTACCTGATACTGTTGGTCACAAATTTTTATCAAATATTCAAGAATTTTCGTCAATTAAATGAGAAATCATTTAGGTCTTCATGCAGCTTTAGAACAAATTAGAAGAAATGGTTTTGATATCCTTATTCAATGTGTGTCAAGAGAAAATATACGGAGCATTTAATCTTTCCACTGGCATACCCTTGCCTTGTTTCTTGGCTTTAAGGTTTAATTACTGTCCACCTAATGCAGATGCAGATCTCTGCTTTTTTTAACTCTCCGCCACATGTATCATTCTTAGATACTCTATGTTTTATCAGAGGTGCCGAATTTTGGTTGAATTCAGAAATATGGATTCCTAAGATTGTGGAATTTGCCCAACTTCAGGCCAATCACTGAAAAATTGTTGCACTTTATGTAAAAACAATCTTAATATAAAATGTATAGGACAAACTGATCCATAAATTTTTAGTCCCTGTGCATGTGTTTCGGGAGGCCGAAAAGTTGAGGATATTTTTGTTTCCCCATAATCAGTTGGCACCTCTGGTTTATTTTTGGGGGCTTTTTTTTCTCTTATTGTGCCCCTCCTTACATCGTGCTCGTCATGTAAATATTTTGATATTCTTGCGCATCCAGTAGAGCATGTTGACCTGTGCTAGTGCTTCAAATGTATTTGATGTTTTGCATTTAAGTAGTCCGGTCTTCAAAATGGAGTTAGTAACACGTAACACGTTACACACTGATATTTGCTCTCCAAATCATTTAAAATAAATCAGTTTGATCAGGCGAAATTGCTTTCTACTGAAAGTATTGGGTTGTGAGAACATTTAGTAATTCTTAGTTGCAGCAAATACAACTGAGAAAGGTAGTGATTTCACATTTCCTCAGGAGGGGGGAATGTATTTGATTGAGAAACACGGTTATATCTGTGTTATGCAGTTTCTAGTTTGAAAAGAGACATTGGGTTCATAGTGAAGATGTTTCCCCAAGTTCACTGGGGTTTTCGTTCTTGTGCTTGCTCTTCCCAGTACCCCACCACATCCAACCCACCCCATCCCCACCCCACACCTTGGATTTCTTGTCTCCCGGAAGAGATGGAAACCCCTGACTGTTCAAGACTCACACAGGAGGCATCCACACCCATCGGTTCCTGAGCAGCGTTGCAAGGATGGGCTGTAGAACCTCCAGATGACTCAAAAATACCAAATGTGACGTGATCCTGTTCTGAGAATGCACCACTCTACAAAGGCTGGGTTTTCTCTGACAGGTGCATTTACCAAATATGACAAATATTCTCCCAGATTGTACACATGACTCACTAACTGCGACATTACGTACCTTGATTTTAACTATTAATAGGGGTGCCACTTTTCTGGATGTTTCTGAAACTACTGCAACAATCGCATCAAAGCTTTGAGTTGAACAACAGATGTTTCAAACTCTTTAAGAATCTTTAATGGCGACTTATTTGCATGTTTGTATAAGACGTCGACCATGTTTTTTAAAAAGAACTGCAAATCCTGTCAGTTTTTGGAAATCCTTCTAGACTTTGCTGGCACCCCTAAATATCCGTACTGATACTAAGATTATTTTTATTTTGACCTGTACTCATTCTGTTAGAATGTGAGTTGACTTTGTATAGCTGTGACCAGTCAGCAAGCAATACAAGACAACTGCTGAGCTGCCCTTTAGCTGAATTGTGGATTGTCCACCTTTGTTGAGATTCCCCTTAGCCTGTGCAGCCAAACTAGTCTTTTTTTTTCCATAACACCCAGCTTTGATTACAGCATCGTGGGGGATACCACGTAAAGGAATGGTAGTGCCCTAAAAGTACGAGTAGTGTTTTTTTTAGAGATTGTTTCAACGGCATAGAAACCACTAGCGTTTGAGTGATGGCTTTGAGAAAAATCTTGATATTTGTCTTTTCCAAATAATAAGAAGTGAAATTAGTTGCCTCCAGAGCCCAAATTGCTCAAGACACAGTCCCATTGTAGACTTGGGCATTGAAAAGTTATGTCAACGTTAAGTATGCTTTACTCCAGGTTTTGCAAGGAAAGTCATAAGGGCTGTACCTAAATAGAACTGTTCCCCAATATAGAGAGAGATAATAGGATGGGAACTTGAATCCCATAAGCAAAGTATTTCATCAACCTCTCTGCCTATGTATTCTACCTTTAGGACCTCTGCATTATCTTTGCTTGCTTCGAAATATGTGCTAGGATGGTTTTGTTTAAATTTAAATCTTACTGGCATGGTGTCTTCTATTTTGTTTTTGTTTGGTTTTTTCCTAAAAGTATTTCTGTGCTTTTGAAGTGTAGTCTTTCCAGGTGTAGGCTTCTTTGTAGTTCTTGATTGAGTCATTAGATAGATAAAGTGGACTGGTGTGCTGCTTCCTTTGCTCAACACATATGTTGACATCTCCTCTTTCTGCCAATTATGGGGTAGGGTTGAGTTGATAGTGCTATGGAACATTACAGGAATGTCTTTACCAGAGATCAGTTATATCGCTTATATTGATTGGGTTGCCGCTCTTCTTTTTAAACAATGTTGGAGTTTAAAACCGTTACTTGACACTGTCTGAGAACTCGTCTTCAGTTTCAAAGGTGTTTTTTTTTTTTAGGGGGATGCGAGTTCTTACTAGTACCTAGGTTCTTTTGTGAGAGCAAATGAATTTATTAGGGTCAAGTTGGCTAATCTTTCAGGTTTTCCAGTCTTCATAAAAATGAAATCAGTTGGGCTTGTTTCTGTGCACACTGGCAGATTCCTAGCATCAGAATGTTAAAACCTAATGTTGTCGTCTTTTGCCTGAGAGACATTTTGAAATTTTAAAAGGAATACAGGTGTCATATAATATTGGGTTTGTCAATTAAGTAGAAGAAATTACACCAAGGAATACTGATGCAAGAAGTTTCCGGTTTTACCTTCAGAGTGGGTTCCTCACCTGTGGATCTCATTTTATTAAAACAACTGATAAACTTACTCAGTAGTATGATGTGTCAGTTTGATCTTCAAGTAGAATTCTAAACCTGTCATGTATACTAGATATTGATAATAATTGTTCGTTTTAAAAGCTTTTTCTTTTCAATAGAAAAAGTCCAACACAGTTTTACCAGTTGTTTTTTTTTAAGCTGCCATCTAGTTTGGTCATGTCATGTGAATGTAACAGCAGGCTTAAGTCTACTGCTTTCATTGTTTTGGGTGGGTTTTTTTACCACAGAGGTCATATAGAAATGGAGAAGGTACAAGTTAAGTAAACAAAATGACTTGTTTAACAACAATAAAAATCACAGTGATAACTCCATCTGATAGAATATTCAGAAGGTTTTCATTGCTCAAGTCTATGATTATTGTCTGCTGGCTGAAGCTTGGTCTCTCCTCAGCATATCTTCTGCGTGTAATTCCTGGCCTGGGAAGATCCAGTGCTCAGTTTTTCTGCCATTAACATTATACCGGTTGCCAAGAGATACATAGGAACACTCATACTCAATCTTTAGCAAGGTTTGCTTCACGTAAAATTATATTAGTTTTGCTTTACCTTTTTTCCCTCTTTGAAATTACTGAAGATCACATTTTCGTTTTTAATATCGTTTAGTAGCTTTATGTGAAATTTGAAGGGGTGAAAAGTAAGAACCAAAATAAATCATTACTATGACTCTCTTCTTTTTGTTCCGCTCGGAATTTGTTTTTCAGTTGTGTTTTTTCCCCCATTTTTATACAATGATATGAGACCTTTTTTTCTCTCTCCAATACATTGATTTTACGTCTTTAGGGTTCAGAATCAAATATTTTGGTTTGGAACCTGAAAGATTAAAGCGTGAATATCCAAGTTTCTGCTGCATTGTGTGTTTTATCTTATGACACATACAAAATAAAATGAACTGTTTTTAATGCACCGTCCAAGTTTTGTCACCTTTTTTAAAGAGTGTTTGGTAGAGGTCGTCTTTTATGTGTGTAGGTGGTTGGTGGGTACTCGGGTTTGGTTTGCTTCTTATTTCCTATCAAACATATATCATCCTTATCTCTCCTCCTTTTTTGTGTTCGTTACTCTCTTTTAACACCTCTAATCTTCATCACATGTATGACGTAAGTGTTGCCAGTGCCGTAAAAGTAAAAGGCATACTAGATTATAATTAAAGACATTTTAAGTGTGAAACTGCCGTAGAGTTGGTTCTTCAACAAGCTGACTTCTGACGGCTCCTCATAATGTAAAACATGGTCAGTACCAGTTGCCTTATTAGGCCAAATGTAAAGCAGATTGAGCAGAACTCCTTATCTGTGTGCTATATGATCTTACTCTTCTACTCGGGGGCTCTCGTTGCTTAGAGGTTAAGGTGTTCACCTCTCATTCAATAGGTGCCGAGTTCGAATCCGGATAGGGACATAAATTTTTCTTTTCTAAAATGTTCTCCTTTCACATCCTTTCCTGCTCTCTGACAATGTTCTGTAGTCTGCTTTCGTCTCCACTTTCAACCCCCCCCCCCCCCTCCACCTCTGCCTCCTCTGGGCTCCTGACTCTTTCTGCAGCCTTTCCACTTCTGATGCTACTCCTTGGCTCTAACTGCTGTCTTTCAACCACACCCCTGATCTTATGGTAGGAGAGACCTACACCTAGCCTTCTCGGACAAGAGCGAAAAATCTCGGAGGTCCCGTGTGCATGTTGCGCGCGTAAATAAAGATCCTTTATCGATAAGAGTAGGCTTCGGCCACCACCCGGGTAAAATTCAAAAAGTCCTACTAACTGAAAATATTTAATGCGTCCCGCGCGCTTATTACTTATACGTATGACTGTATGCAGTTGTGAGCGCCGTAAAACACTTACTGGGTACCCCCCCAAAAAAATATTCTCCCACTTCGGCATCTGACAAAATATGATGATTAGTATCCTAAAATGTATTTGCAAATACATGTACCTGTGAATAATAAAGCTGCTCTAATCTGTCATGATAAGACCTACGGAACCAAAGAGTATTATGGTACTTCAGACCCTATGCAATGCACTTTTATTGTGTGTGTATGTGTCACGGGGGGGGATGGTTATGTATAGTTGTTCTTTCACCCCCGTAGACTCAATTTAGATCTCATTTTGGAGGAGGGCTTTGATGGCGCCTGTGGTTCCAACAGAAAGACTGAGGTACTCAATAAAAGTTTTACCCACTCGGGAATCAAACTCAGGTTTTTTTTACTTTTACATGCGACAGCAAAGAGACTAACCACTACACCACAGACACTGGTCAGGGGTCCATATTAAAAATAGTTTTATGTGTGGTGTGGGAATAAAGATAAAGCTTTGAAACTAGACACACTTACTTTTATTTCTCTGTATACTATAGAGTCACCATGCAGAGTAACATTTCTGCTACCTCTCTTTGACATTCAATTGTCCTTGAGAGAAAAATGACCCAGAATGGGCCCCTAACCAGCCTTCAATGGCGTCCTCGTTGTCATGGAAATGATGTCCTTTGAATTATGTTTTTAAGATTATGAAACATTAAAAAGTCTGAGGGGAGCTAGGTCTAGTAAATAAGCTGTGTGTGACAGGATTTCTGCTGTCAGGACTGCTTGTTGTGCCCTGTGCGCAGGGGCGTTATCTTGCAATTGGGGGACCTTTTTTCTCACCAATGTTATCAGCAAACCCGGGTTGTTGTCTCCTGGGACAGATTTTCCAGGCAGTCAGTCATGATGATACCTTCACAATCCCAGAAACATGATAGCTTTACCTTTCCACTTGACAGTGTTACCAGAGAGGGTTCTCTGGTGTTACCTTTGCTTTCTTTGGTGAGGGAGAAGAAGGGGTTTTCCTTTGCATGGAGGACATTTTGTATTCTGGAACAAAATAGTGAATCCATGTTTCATCCATAGTCACCATGCTTTTAAAGAAATTTGTGTCATTGGATTCCATTCGAATGAGAATTTTGCAGGACTCCACCCTCTGCTTCTTTTGCTCACTTGTAAAAAGGCGGGGTTCCCACCGCGCGGACTCCTTATTCATGTTAAGATGATCGTGGAGAATCGTTTCAACTAACCCTACACTTATTCTCATTTCACTTGAGAGTGAGAGCTATTTAATACGTCGGTCTTGTAAAACCAGTTTCTTTACTACAATGGATACATTCTCTTCAATTACCACCAAGGATGAGTGCCCTTCACAATCTCTTTCCATCACCAACATTAATCCAAATTTGAATTTTCTTACCCAGTATGTCACAGTATTATGAGGACATTTGTCACCATAAACTTGAACCATTTCCTGAAAAATGTCCGAAGGGGATTTTCCTTGCAAGTGTAAAACTTGATAACTGAGCGATATTCAACAAGCTCTATGGCACAGCTTCAGCAAAGAAAAACAAACGTTTTTGTATATGGTTTCATTAGCCACGCTGACTAGTGCCTTATTATTATCAGATTTTCCCGAAAATTTATATGGTGTGTTCCAAAGAAATTGTCTAAAGGCTGGCAAAATTTCATTACTCTTCCATGATTCCTTCATACCCAGACCAAAGACTTATTGAACCCCTTTCGTAGGTGTAAGTGAACTTGTAGACTAGTAGACAATGGAACATAGCGGAGCAAAATAGGAGGAAATACAATGTACTTCTCGGTCGAGGATGAAGACTGATCCCAGCCGATGTGGATATAAGATGTATGTCCAAAAAACCCAAAATCTACCATGATAATATATAATATAGAATAATAGTCCTAAGCTCCTATAAACCTAAATTACTGGTTAAGTTGCATGGAATTTTGCCCTGAGCCTCGAATTCCAGCTCCAAGGCAAGATCTACACTTCTGTTTGTATTCTTTGCTCTTGCCTCAATGAACACTAGCATGGTTTCCGATTTATCCCAAGGTTATTTCTACAAAACAATGTTCAGTGTGAGGCCATAATATATCAACCGTGGGTGGCTGAAAAAAAGGTATAATTAACAAAAGCTGTCCTATTTTTCTTTCCCTTTATTGTTTCCTTTTCTCTGTCTTGCTTTTTCCAGGCACGGAAATGGCCATTGCTGTTTCTGCGTGCTTGACTTAAACACTAAGGAATACTCACAGCGCACGACTGCTTTCCACTTCTCTTGTTATACAGCATGTCGTTTTCTCTGTCTGTCCTGCTTTTAATTATTTGTTTTGCTTTTGTACTTCTGAGCTTTTCATTTTTACGAACATTATTAGTGTCATTATTTTGTTGGTAATTCCCCCTTTTTGTTGTGTCTTGTTTTCGTTCGTACATTGTTTATTTTGTTTTGGTTTGGGTTTTTACTGTGTGTATCTATCTATCAATGTGTGTGTGTGTGTGTGTGTGTGTGTGTGTGTGTGTATGTGTGTATGTCTGTGTTTGAGAAAGAGAGTTTCTTGAAGGGAAAAGAAGAGATGGATTAAGAATCCATAAAAGAGCCTATTGAACGTGACGCTGCTCGTTACTTCGCCGGTCTGCCTCTGAAGAGTTTGGACACGAGCGGTCTGAAAGGGGCTCTCCGCTTCAGTTGACAAGTTGTGTCTTGTTGATGGGTTTTGCTCGATCGTTCCCCCAGCCCACTTGAAGAATCTGCTCACACTACGACGTGCTCAAGTGGAAAACATTGGCGTGGTGCCATCCGATCTTTGGGGGGGTTTTTTTTTTCTTATTTGTTGTTGTTGTTGCTTGGTTTTGTTGGGGTTGTTGTTTTTTTTTTGAATTTTTAAAAAGCCTTCTATTCTTCCTCTCTCCTCTACGTGTGTGATTTTGTTTCCATCCGATATGTTAGCTGGAAGTTTTTCTTTTCTTTTTTTCTTCCTCATTACACGTCATAATAATAATAATAATAATAATAATAATAATAATAATAATAATAATAATAATAAAAATAATAATAATAATAATAATACCGTAATCATTTATTATCGTTATTGTTGTTGTTGTTGTTATTATTTTATTTTTTAGTTCTTCTTTTCTTCCCCATTACACGTCATAATAATAATAATAATAATAATAATAATAATAATAATAATAATAGTAATAATAATAATAATAATGATAATACTAATAATAATAATAATAATAATAATAATAATAATAATAATAATACCGTAATAATTTAGTATTGTTATTATTGTTGTTGTTGTTGTTATTGTTGTTATTATTATTATTGCTATTATTATTATCATTATCATCATTATTATAATTATTATTATTATGTTTCTTCATTCCACCCGTTGAGTCTTTGAATACACCTCCACGTGTGTTAGTATCTGGTACGGCAACAAACTAACAATTTAAAGAACGAGAGCAAAACATACTCCATACGAAAAAATGGTATACGTCTGGGTCTTATTTTTATGTTATCGCATGTTTTACGCGTTCATAGACTCAATTTAGATCATTTAGAAGGCGGGATGCTGACAGGCTGAGAGATATAACGTCCCAGTCGACAAACGGTTACATTCGATTTTTAAAAAGACAACAAACAACCCAAACAAAACTTTTGGGAAAAAAATCTGTACGGGAATCGAACTCACGTCTTCTGCGTCAGACCGTGAGGCGCCCAACCGCTTCTTTACCTACGCTGTTTTCGTTTTTTGTTGTGTTTTTATTTCCAAAACTCTCCGGACCCCCCCCCTTTTTTCCAAAATTTTCCGGGACCCCCCCCCCCCCCCCCCCCCCCAACCCAATCACATCATTATACATTTGTACTACAACATTGTGACAGAAGAATTAGATATAATTAAGTGAAGCGCTTTTACGATAATATATCAGGAAACTGGCGTTTTAGGAGTTTCTCACCAGTCGAACCTGTCACTGACGACCACTCATGGTTGTTGGGAAAATGTGGACATCTTGGACAGTGTCATTGTAATACGGAATGTCCTTGGAGGATCGTTTCTTTTTCTTTTTTTTTTAAATGTAGAAAGAAGTCACATC